AATCTAAAGAGAGTTAACATCAGCGAGCTTGAGCGCATGTTTGTCTTTAGAGATGCTACTAAAAGTAGGGGAATGACTGGGATATCGCTGTTGTTTTGTGCAAGGCAACGATAGTCAACACTGGCCTCCCAGATCGAGATGTTCAGTTTTACTTTGAGAGTGATAATGAGCAATTTAAAATCACGAGACTGAAAGGGATAATCAAAAAGGCCATATCTGATCCAGTACACACTACAGCACAGTGCAAATCAATTCGGTGTCGAAATTGTGACAGAATGAACAGAACCAGAAGATCAATAATTCAAAACAAGAGTTAGAAATGAAATATATAGGCAAGAAGACGCAGTAAAGAGAGGAGAAAGGATGCCGTGAAGACAAGTCTTGAGTGTGATTTTGAATGTTTGTTATGATTTAATTGTAATTTAAAACATATCTGTACGTCAAATAAGTTAAGCATTCATCAATATCATCGTTGTTCCACGTGTAAAATCGTGTAATGTGTATTAGCATAAATTGATCCTCATTAGCATTTTTAATCCGGTTGTTTGAAATCCTTCTAATAAGTTTGATATGTTTCTGCTCTCCTTCCGTATCGCCTTGCGGCTCGCTTCCCGTGCTCGGCCTTCGACCATCGCGCTTCGCGTTCAATATTCACCGATTCCTGGGAGTAAAAGAGAGTCCGACCTGGGAAGTCTATATCATACGGTCGCAGGACTTTTCCAAAACATTGCGATGTTTTTTGTTTATGTTTTTTGTTTTTTGTTGTTGTTTTTTCAATTGATTCATCAAACCTACATAATCTGAAGAAAGGGATAATATTCTCCGTATTTGCCATCGTCTGAGTAAGGTATGAACTTTTCTACCTTCAAAAGCCATTGTATCCAATCGATTTATTTGCTTTTTTGCATACTTTCCCAAAAAATATCTTCGAACGAGTATCTTGGATTTTGTACTTATAGTGCGTGAATTACCAGACTCCAAATGCATATGAAAATAGTTTACTAAACTATCGAAAAACCGAGTCTTAAGTTATTGTCTTAATGTGCGATTAGAACTGCGATTAAACCTGAAAGAYAGTGAAGAGACGAACTCCTTCCTCATCCCGGCCATCTTTGAAGTTCTTCTTATCAATAAAAAAAATGTCGTAAAAATGGGCATGAGCGGAGCATCATAGCTAAGAAAAAATGGTATACCATCAAGTCGATTTTCAATTGACTGACACAGGGTTCCCGCGCGTACGCACGTTTCCTTCCGTCCTTTCTGTTTTCCGTGTACCACCACAGGAAGACCATACTCCGAAAGCGCCAAAATATTTGTTCAAACATCGAATTGTTTTTCTCAATTATGTAGATCTTCTCTTCTTTGCTCGTTCGTAGCGATCAACTGGAGATCCAGTTGCTTTAGTACTATCATGGCCAAGCTTCTAGGTAGGAGCCCAGTCAGGACTTTCACTATCAAAGAGAGCTGATGGTTTTCCTAAAATGACATAGTTGATATATAGTTAGTAACTTTATTAGAAGTAAGCTTATAAGTTGAATTCGATTGATCGATCGATCACGCGAAAAGATCACGGTCGTTCAGTGTAAGATTTTGGCGTTTGGTAACAACAAAWTGATCCATAAACTTTGCTTTGCTTTAATTATTACATTAACAACATTTTAACTCAAAATAAACGACAATCGATCAACTAACSTGAATRGAAATGGTCCGAACAGAYTCGACTGTGCTTACTTGGCGTCCATCCTTTCCGACATAGGTTTGCTAACCATTTATGGCGTCTCTTTGACGAAAGATCCAATGCTTTCTCACCTTGATGACTGATTACACTCGGGAAGCAATAATAAAACTTTTTATCGCGATTTGAGCGATTCGAACAGCCGACAACGGAGCAAAAATTTACCATGTTTACACTAACAGCTGACTTCAAGTCTGTTTACATCTTGTTGGTTGACCTTCAAGATGGCCGCCGACGCGTTGTC